ATACAAGCCGAACAGCACTAATGTCATCAGCATTATATGACTTAAACGCCGTTGTGAACCTCGGAACGAGACCGAAGATTACAACTGAAATTATGGTACACCAGCACCCTATCAGGTTTGAGGTGGATTCCGGAGCAGCATGTACGCTCGTCAGCGAGGACACTTTTCGCGCTACTTGGCGTGAGAACGCGCCAGCTCTCCAGCAAGACGACACGCAGCTGAGAACGTGGTCCGGACATTCCCTTCTACTGCTGGGCTGTGCCAACGTAGACGTGTACTACAACGGGCAGACCCATCAGCTCCCCTTGCTAGTCGTCCACGGTTCTGGATCAAGCCATTTAGGACGAAATTGGTTCACCCCCCTTGGAGTGGTCATTGGCGGAGTTCACCACACACCCAGTTATCCGTCAGTGGAGCATCTTCAAGATAAGTACAAAGCGGTTTTCTCCGAAGAAATACCAGGGAACAATGGACCTCCAGTCACACTGGAGCTGCGGGAGGATGCGACGCCGAAACTTCTGAAAGCTAGGTCGGTGCCTTTCGCCCTACGAACGTCAGTCGAGAATGAGCTTGACCGACTGCAGGAACAAGGGATCGTCGAACCGACGCAACATTCGGAATGGGCTACACCACTCGTTGTCGTCCAAAAGAAGAACGGTTACTACGCCTCTGCGGAGACTACCGTAGCACTGTCAACCTGGCGACAAAAGCATCTTCCTACCCACTGCCGACACCGGAAGAGGTTCTTAGCACGCTTCGTGGTGGAAAAATCGTCAGCACCTTGGACTTGACACAAGTCTACCAGCAGCTGAAGGTGAGCGAATCAACGTCTGAACTGCTCACAATGAACACTAATAAAGGTCTTTACAAAGTTAAAAGGCTACCATTTGGAATATCTGCAACGCCAGCAATCTTCCAGAAATTTATGGAGTCTACACTTATTGGGATCCCAGGTGTTTGCGTCTACTTCGACGATGTTATTGTCGGTGGCGCCTCCAATGAAGAGCACACAGAACGCTTGGAGCTCATTTTGGAGCGGCTAGCAAATGCTAATTTGCGCATCAGTAAAGAAAAATGTGTTTTTGTGGTGCCTGAAGTGAAGTTTCTAGGACATCAAATTGACGCGCAGGGTATCCATCCCACTGAAGACAAAGTGCGTGCAATCACCGAAGCACGAGCGCCTACTAACAAGCAAGAACTGCAGTCGTTTTTGGGCTATTGACGTTCTACGACCGGTTCTTAGAACATCGAGCTACAGTGGCCAACGATATATATCAGCTCCTGCAGAAAGAAGTCCCATGGACTTGGTCGCCACGCCACCAAGAGTCATTTGTTGCCCTTAAGCAACTACTTCGCAAGTCTACTGTTCTGCGACACTACGACGAATGGAGACCCCTACTGCTAGCCTGTGACGCATCACCATACTGAGTGGGAGCAGTCCTCTCCCAAGTTGACGACCAGGGACGGGAAGCCCCGATCGCCTTTGCTTCGCGCACCCTGTCACAGACAGAGAGGAATTATTCCCAGCTAGATAAAGAGGGATTTGCCTTCGTCTACGCAGCATATCACTTTCGGCAGTACATTACCGGCAGGAAAGTGACTTGCATAACAGATCACCGGCCCTTAATGGGTATTATGGGTCCCCAGAAGCCAATGCCACAGACATTGTCGCCGCGAATGACACGATGGTGCATCAAGATGTCGGCGTACGATTACGAACTCGTACATCGCACGGGGAAGAAACACCAGAACGCCGACGCACTAAGCCGCCTTCCGCTAGACAACACAATAGATGAACCACCCCCACCGGGTGATATACTCATGTTCGAGGCGCTGCCGAACCCTCCGCTAACAGCTGACACGGTAGCACCATCAACGCAGGAGTGCACTGTCTTGAAGGAAGTCTACGCAGCTATATAAGAAGGCAACGTGCAGAAGCTAAAGGGTGAACACTTCAACGCTTACCGCAAGCGAGCTGCGGAGTTGAGCACTCATCGCGGTTGCGTCACCTTGGGATCAAGAGTTGTAATTCCAGCGGCACTTCGCGAACAGGCCATGTCGCTTGTCCACGCAGGTCATCGAGGCATTGTTCCCATAAAAAAGTGCGCCAGAAGTTATATGTGGTGGCCTGGTATCGACCATGATATAGAATTAACAGTTCACGATTGCCAGCCTTGCCAATGCAACCACAGAAGCCCGCCAAGAGCCTCTATTCCTGAATGTGAAAGACCAGACACGCCTTGGCACACCCTGCACATTGATTTTGATGGACCTATCGAAGAGTGTTCATTCCTGGTGGTTGTAGACGCATACACCAAGTGGCTGGAGGTAAAAGAAATGGCTACAACGACATCGGCAGCAGTTATCGACACTGCGGTCGTTGTTTGCAACGTTTGGCCTACTACGCAAGGTGGTCTCTGACAACGGCGCTCCGTTTGTGTCCACAGAGATTCTCAAGTTTTACAGCGACAACGGCGTCTCGTCTGTTAGATCAGCTCCTTACCACCCGGCTACGAACGGACAAGCCAAGCGCTACGTGGCTGAGCTAAAGCGTGCCCTTACTAAAGACCAGACTGGGACAATGCAACGCCGCATCGCGCGCTTTCTCATCAGACAGCACAACACTGTTCAAAGCACTACTGATCAAACGCCAGCGAAATTGATGTTCGGACGAGAAATGAGAACCCAGCTGACAGCAATTGTCCCGGAGCTCTCAGCGAAAGCACCGTCGGAGGAAGAAAAGCTCCCGCATAGCAGGAGAATTGAAAATGGACAGCGCTTATACGCCCGCCAGTTCCACAGAAATCCCGGCTGGGTTGAAGCGACGGCACTCACACGCGTAGGTTTGCGGTCATGGCTCGTCGACATTGGTGGAAAGGCCACACGCCGCCACCTTAATCAGCTACGCGTTCAGGTAATTTGCCAAGGGAACCTCCCATTCAAGCAGCCACCTCGACGGAAGCTTCGTTCCACTTGGCCTGGCATCTCGCATCAGATGAATCGGCGCCGCCGCCCGCCGGCCCTGAACACTAGAGAAACGACACCCAGCGAGGGGAGGCTTCTCTTTCTAGTGCGTCCAGAGCGTCCACGCGCCCACGGCGGCCCCCAGATCGCTTCCAAGCGACAAGCTAAAGAGGGAGGAGACGTTGTGTTCCAAGCACCCCTGTGTCACGAGCGAGCCTCCAAACCCGCGAAGGACCGGTTGCTGGAACTGCTTCCAGATGTTGACTTCTCCCCTTCCCCCGCTCGGCGGAAACGAGCCACCGTCGTTTCCCCCGGCAGTTCGGCCGCCGCCTCCATCCGAATAGGAATAAACTTGTTTTTAACCGTTCGAAGCTGTCTGAGCTTTTTGGACTACCGCGAACAACGCGTACGTCTATGGGCCGACAACACCGGACATAATAGTTAATTACAAAAATGTAAGACAGAGTGAATTTAACTCAATTTTCTGCTTGCCAGGTTTGTGCAAATTTACTTTTTTATTGCTAATTCACAATTATCGCACATTACCTGGACTATGTCATATTTTGTAGTTATCAGTGCTCACTAACTTTCTGTAGCAGCGCTTGACTCAAAAGTTCTTCAACAAATAATAAATATTGCAAACATTTTTTGGTTGTGTCGTCATCTGTGAAAAGAACCATGAAGTTGTCTCGTGTCACTTCTGACGTTTGTCAAAAGTGATGCCGCTAAACATGACTATGCCGCCGAAACACGTATGGGTTAGTTCTCTATATTTCAGACTTCAGTGTCTATCTAGCCCAGTGGGTAAATTTAGTCACTTGGTATCGAATACACAATGTAACTTCAAGAGGCTGCTGAAAAAAGAAAAAGAAAGAGACAGAGTCACAGAAAAAAGGGAACAAAGCGTGCCGCAGTCCTGACCAAGCGGTTTGGCAATTGTGCCTAGGATTCCAGGACCTGCTTGGCTGCTCGCCTTTGTAGCAAAAGGGCTGCAGAAGCGTTTCTGAAGTACACAGAGAACTTACCTTGCCTTCTATTTTTGAGACTCGTAGGACATTATCTGGTGGTCTTTACTTTGCGAGGAGGTGAGGAAGGTTTGGCAGTGTGTTCCACGTTACACTGGTTTAAGGGTAGTATAACATTGAACCTTTTTCGAGAGACTAGTCTGCACATGTGAAGGGGTGGTGACATGACGCACGTCGGGTTTTTTTGGGAGAGGAGGGGAGGTCACAAAGCCAAGCAGCCTCTATAAATGTTGCACAGAGTGGCAACAGTTGCTAACTCAGAGGTAGCTGGAATCGTCTGCAAATCATTCCTGAAAAATACTAAGCCCCCGAAACATTTTTACCAGTGCGTGGCGGATAACTTCAGAGGCTACGGACCCCCACTTTCTATTTTGGTGACTTTCATAAGGTGCTTTTCAGACTTTAAAAGAGCGCACTGGCAAGTTTGCGATACTTTCAGGGCAAGTTGGTGGAAAACAAACTTTCATGCGTGCAGTGACTATATTATAAACTGTGAGTTGATGAGCCATATTTCCCTGACTGCTGCAAAAAGTGCTGATGGCCGCGTGAGCTCTATAGCGTTTCGAGCCACGCGCAGCAAAACAAATGTCAAGTGTCTCTACCCCTTCAGAAGTTTGGGAACAATATTTTCAGTATGCCAACTTAATAAAATATGTGTTTGCTAGTGTATTACTCTCAAATTACAGTAAAACATGTATTGCGAATGATCATTGTGTCCTCGAAGATCATTGATGTGATGCCATTTGCTTGTTGTAGTAGGCAGTGACTGGTTTAGCAGAGAGTTAGCAGGAATAAAGCTTGAACTACACGGAGTAGACAAGATGGTCACTAATTACCTCTAGCAAAGCTTAGCTTTGGCAAATAATCTGTTCACTCATGTACGCCATGTTACAGCTTACTTTCTAGGCACCCGGCCTTCACTGACCATAGCGGGATATAACGCATTTACTCTCCGTATCGGCCACCATAGACACCTAAAAAATGAGACGTTCGCAGAAAACGTAGACGCACTCAAGCGTATTTCTCGAACGAACTTCTTTGAGTGCTCACTGGGTGCAGCCACAAAGTGTAAGCCGCCTATTTCCCTGCACCTCCAAATGACAAATGCAATACCCGGACTGGTTTTGCAGCTTCCACTCCCTAAGCCAGGGGTCCCAATCAGCTAGCGTGCTGTCCAGACACTCAAGATGGTAAAAGCACAAGGGGGTGGGAGAGGGGAAGGCAATTTAATGTTTGAAACAAAAGAACCGGAACCCTGAAAAAAAAAGACTGTGCATGAGTTTTCGCGATAACCGTATCACATGGTAGTGATATGAGTACTCACTAGGTGAGCACTAATGAAGCAATTGTTTCGTGTGATCACTTCGTTTACCACACCACGGTTCAACACTGTCGAAATTTTGGCTTGTTGGTGCATTGTGACGACTGAAAATAGCGCTAAGAAACGGGGACACAAGAAGAGGACACACGACACAGGCGCTAACTTCCAACATAATGTTTATTATTATCGCACGCTCGCCTATATCACCAAAAAATTATTTTGCGCGATTTTGCGCTATTTCAAGTCGTCACAATGCACCAATAAGCCCTAATTTTGACAGTGTTGAACTTTGTTTCTCGTACAACGGGCCCTTCTTTATGTTCATCTTCAAACCCACGTGCCACAGTCACCTACATCGCTCTTGCATTCTGTCAAGCTCGATCCCTTGCTTTTTGCATTCGCCACAGCCTAATGCCTCCGGAAGTCAAGCGCCTTTTCGGCAACGTTGCCCCCTCTGTTGGTCATGGGCTTAGGGTGTGCAAAATCTTGAAGGCAGAATGGTATAGACAAGCACGTCTACATCAACAATACTTGTCCGCCCTTCTTTTGATCGTCTCGATGATACTCTGGCCATGCAGCAGCTTCGACAATTTCAGCGCCTCGCCGACCAAAGCACGGAATTCCTCTGGGCTCGACAATTGCCGGTGCTACGCACAGGCGTCGCCAAAAAAGTAAAAAGTTGAAAGTTGAAATTTATTTCACCACAACGATACACCGTGATTTACACAAAGAAGAAACAATTGTGGCATGGAAAGTAGGAAAAAAGCTGCGCTATAGCAGCTTGACTAGCCCCACCTCCCATTTGTACAAGGCAACAGAAACAATGGCACACCAAACTCCATACGGTGCTCACGTATGATTGAAAGGAAAAAAGAAAAGAAAATAACATTCTAGTGGTTGTTTATGAAGTACAGAATAGATGCACACTTGGGTGTTCACAAACAAACAGTTATTGGGAAAAAAGGCAACCAAAATAAGACGCTATAACAGAAAGGGGTACACTTAAAATTTCATGCATTTGCTCTACAACCGATCAAAAGCCGACAGTTCACGTGCCTGAACAGATCACCGTGCCTCCCGACATCCTCCGGACTTTAAGCCTCGGGCCCAAGTTTGCGGTGGAACCTAAGACGTCTCCACCGGAACATCTAGCCATGGTGCGACAAGTTTCGCGCCATGTGCCCGAACAAGAGCAACCACACTCCGTCTCAGAAGGCGTCGACACTGTTTCGCACTACTGACCAGCTGGATCCAAAAATCCTCTCAGGAGAGTTGAGGCTTTTCTCAAAGAGCACTCTCTTACCGTCCTTCCCGCTGATAAGGAAGGAAGCTTCGCCATCCTGACTCTGGGACTGTTTGGTTCTAAGGCTCACACTTCCGTAAGCTCTGTTTTCTCCTCTCGCGAGGACGTCCGTATTGAAAAAGTTAAATCGGAAGCAAAAGAGCTATGCAAAGACCTTAACCTCTCTCGAGTTGTCGGTGGCATCACAATTAGTAAGCATGACTTTTTAAAAGTGTTTTTTAATGCAAAGACTCACAAAAGCAATATGCCTTTTAGGGTGATTGTTTCAGAATGTGATACATGGCAAAAATCGATTGCTACTTTTTTGCAAGAACAGTTGAACCGGCTTGACGTTGATGATCCTTTCATAGTAAAAAGTTCTGATCAAGTCATAAATTATGTGAAAACTTGTGTCGATGAGCATGTTTATGGTTTTTCAGTCGACGTGACTGATTTGTATTATTCTATTCCTTATGATCAGTTGCTTCCTGCGGTTGAAGAGTGCATAGATTTGTTTGGCTCTGTTAGATTTCAAACTGAGTGTGGTGTTCCTGTCAGTCGGTTTTTAGAACCTTTATCATTTTACCTCAAGACGACCTCCATTTCATGGGATGACAAGCCTTTTATTCAAAAGGACGGAATCTGTATCGGGTCTTGCAGTGCGCCCATTTTAAGCGACATATATTTAACTAGAATTGACAGATCGATTTACCTACATCTTGATAATTTGAAGATAAAAAAAGTGTTCCGGTATGTCGATGACTATCTTGTTTTATTACTAACGACACGGTAGCGGACGAGGCAGGTTTGGCAAAAATAATTTCACATTTTTCTGAGTGTTTTATACCCTTGACTCTCACACACGAACTGCCTGAAGGCAATGCCATCAAATTCCTCGATGTCCTCTTCACCTTTCATTCTAACCGCATATGTTGGGCATACCAACCACGTATGAACAAACCGGTCCTTCCTTACCAATCAGCTCACTCCAAACTAGTGAAAAGAGGCATCATCAGTCATTGTTTTCGTCATGCTTTAAACAAATCTTGTGAGCACGAAATCGCCAATAGTTTTCATTATCAGTAAGACCGTTTGTTGAAAGCTGGTTATCCTATGCACGTCCAAACTTCATTTGCAGAAGGCTTGCTTCGTACGCTTCGCAACCCAGGATTTACAGCGAGTCGTGATGCCGAGAAACCGAAGCACCTAGTCGTCATACCATACTATCACAAGATATCGCACAACCTAAAGAAATTAGCTAAGCGCTCTGAAGTTAGGGTTGTCTTTTCTGCTCCCAAGAAGTTGGTCAGCCTTTGTGGCCTTCATGACCGTGACGGAAAACCCGAAGGTTGTTCTAAGAAGCATCGAACTGTTTATGTTCCCTGCATCATATGCGTTGTTTATCGCATTCCGCTTTCTTGTGGTAAATAGTATATTGGACAGACGGGCCGTTGCCTTAATGATCGATCAAGAGAACATTGTAATAATGTAAAAAACGGCCAGGGGAGTTGGTTGGCCATACATAGTAAATCCTGCGGCTGCGCGCGGATATTCAATGCATGCACAGTTATGAAGAGAATGTTTGGCAAGCTTACTAGAGAAATTATTGAGGCTGAGGCTATCGCTTCACTGGGGTCTAAGTGCGTCAGCACTCCTTCTCTTACGCTCAGTGATAAAGAATTGTATTTTCTAGGAAATTAACTTTTTGTGCGCATCATTCATGTCATGTGATGTTACGTTTTTGGTGATATAGGCGAGCGTGCGATGGTAATAAACATTATGTTGGAAGTTAGCGCCTGTGTCGTGTGTCCTCTTCTTGTGTCCCCGTTTCTTAGCGCTATTTTCAGTCGTCACACCACGGTTCAGCTATTCTAAAATTGAAATGTAAATAGCTGCAGTGGCATGTGCACAAACTGATGAGATTCTGACAGGTCTACCGTCACATTCGTGAAAGCCCAGTAAATGCGCAGGTGGGGTGCGAAATTTCGATCCCAAAAAGGCTCCCAAGATCCCATATGCGTTTGTCTTGGATGATTTGAATGCTGAAGCAGCCATCCTTTTCTGCTTTTCGGTCGACTGTATTCCCTTGCCAAAAGCTTTCTGCACCTCATGTGGTTTGTCAGTTTCTCGGGGATCTGCCCAATTCAGACCAAGTGGTGATGTCGCTTGATGACGTCATGATTTCTAAAATTTTGGGGATTTATGATGTTGACCAATGATTTTATTTAGCACTTGCGTAGACAGCGACAGGCCCTTTTTGCACTTGATAAGGCCTGTAAACTTTCCCGACCATGTGTACTGTGCTGCTTGTTTTGTAGTAGCGTTGCGAATAATACTAACTTTTCTACTTAGTTGAATACTGCCTAAGGCATATCAAACAAATACCCACTTTTAGGATTAGAAATATGCATGAATATGAGATCATCAGATTCGTAGTTCAAAGTTCAGCGAGTGCAATTTGCATCAATTTTACAAATTAATTGTGGTGCGAGCAGCACTCGTTTCATAGCTGAAAGAATAGACTCGCATGTTTCTCTAAATCTGAGCACTGCATTGGCATATGTAAGTGTGAGACCGCCCTCTAAGTATGAATGTTGCCCTGCTTGACCTCATCAATCCCTCTGTCGGCTCACCACGCTTGCACCACATCATGACCGATGTCACCCTGCTTCCTATTCATATTCTTGAAGGTTTCAAGTAGCTATGTGAGAAAGAAAAAGAAAGTGGCAACCGATACATCTGTTTAGCGATGCATGAGGCTAGTAATGTTTTGGCTGGCAAATTCCTTCTGCCGTTCATGCCCATGAAATCACCATTTTTTCGCTCACTGCAAGGCATGGAAAATGGGCTTTGTGTAATGATAGCCAGGAAGTTGTAAAAGATAGTTTTCTGGCTAGCTTCTGTTTGTAGCGACATAAGTATCAAGCGGACCATGCGCAACACCCGCAGTATATGTGCAGAGGGGTCCACTAATAAAGGGAATGCCAGTGCACATGTCATCTGCTCTGGTGTTTTTTATAACTGCCACATCTAGTGACCACGTGAGCATGTAGAGGAGGTGACATTTAACATCTCCTGAAAAGGGTTTGCGAACCTCGCCAGCTATTGCTCGTGTCTCTCAACTCACTACATTCCCCCTGTAGGGTTCTTAGAACGAATATGAATTGCACCGGTAGTAAATGATGCTACCGGTTGAAGAGTAAAGCCCCGAAAAAGGGGCCATCTTAGCACTTCTGTTGAAGGAAGAGGGCATGATGTAAAGCAGAAGTGGAGAAAGGGACGTAGCAGGACAGGAAATCTGACATCATGCCGCAGGGACGTCTTACATCATGCCCATCGAGGTGCTGCCTCACAAAGACTGGTGTGCAGCTACGGCCTGTTACCAATGTTTGAAAACTACAGGCAGATCTTGAGAAACACTGAAAGTAAATGG